TTACTCACCAGGCCACCTCCCCCTAAAATTAGTTTTCCTAGCATAGAAAAGAAAGAGAATAGTCAAATATGAGAAAGCAAAACAAAGCCAGAATAATAAAATAAAATAAAGCCAGGTAACTTAACACAAACTGAAGGGCCTGTTTGTTTTAGAGTTAAGATCTTCAGTCCCAGAGTCTCTTGCAGGCTAAGATTCAAACAATTCTAACTTCAGTAACCACAACAGAACCAAAAATCACAGGTGTCTACTTTTCTTAAAAAAAAAAAAAAACTAGCCTATCGGAAATTCCTGCAGATTGCACCTGCTCTGTGTCCCCAGAATGCAGACAGGTTTGGCGGGACTCCTGCCTGTCTAATCTACTTCTTGGGAACGGGGCTTCTCAAATGTGGTCAGCTGTCATCCACAGAGACGCCCTCTCCTGCTGTGGTCCCATGGGTTTGTAGAAAACTTCTCACCACTTCATCCAGGGGGCGCCATTGAGGCACCACCCGCAGGTCTCACCTGCCTCTTGAGACTGCAAAAACTTCCTATGGTCTGTTAGCTCCCCAAGGCTCTGAGGCCAAATCCAGGTTCTGTATGGAAAGAGAAGCCCCCTTCTTTCCTGAGTCACCAAACGCCACTAAAGCAGGGCTTCCCGAGCCCTGGGAACTCTTGAGACTTTTGTGGCAATGACTGTCAGTGGGAGCGTATTCCCTCTTCCACTGGGGCTCAGGTGAGGGCCTGATGCTGCTCTCAGAGCTTGGTGCTTTGTTTTTCAAACCTCCCCTCCTGCGGCCCTCAGCTTCTAGGTGGCATGATGATGGGGTAGCTTCCCACAACACAAACGTTAAAAAAAAAAAAATGTGGAGTAAGCATTGCAGGGCAGCAAACATGAGAGAATCTACATGACGAGAATTGCTAACGACGTCCTAAGGAGACAGCCAATGGTCACGTGAATCCCCAGGCCACATGTTCAGCGCCTTTGGAAAATAAATGAGTGAAAAGGATTCTGCTCCCCACTGACCTGAGGCTCCTGTCTTAACTAAGTGACTGTTAAAACAGGCACTGTTAGCACTGAGAGGGGAAACGTGGCCGCTCACTGAGAACCGGGCAGTCTAACACCCTCTGCCTCCTCCTCCACATGGGACAAGAACAGGGACTTGGTGGGAGACAAAGGCCAAGCAGGAACTCTACACTGGCTGAGAATTAGTGACTGGGGTGGGGGTGGGAGGGGGGGGGTGTTAGTGCAAAGGACACACTGGTGGTCCTGCAGATGTTGGGAGTGGCAAGAGAGCCAGCAGAGGGCAAAGCCAAATCGCCACTCCTTCCCAGTTGCAGGCCCAGCTCTCCTTCAAATCCTGCCCTACCCTACCCTGTAGGCTGCATGGACCCCTTGGAGCAGACTGAGGCAGGGCATAAAAATGGTGTTTGCTCCAAACTGGAGGTAAGAGGCATCCAAAGCAAGGAAGAGATCAAACCGAGGTAGAAAAGACATTTTGTGTAATTCATTTTAACTTTGGGAACTGCCTCTCCCAGCAGCTGGGAACCCAACCCAGTCTGAAACCCTCGGGGAGAAGTCATTCATGTCCGAGGGACTGAGTCTAAAGCCAGGCTGGGTGTGTGAAGCTCTGCGGGGCTGTGTGTGGGCTGCTGCGTGTGCATGTATGTGATAGTAGAAGAGCCTGAAGATGGTGCAGGTGGACAGGGCTTTGCGGGCCCAGGAGTCACAGAAGCAGGGCTGGATGGCAGATAGCCGACTCCCAAGAGGCCTGGGAAGGAGACCGCCAAATCATCAGCACCCACACAGTAGGAGCGAAAGGGAAACCGGGAGTCATCTGGGACAGCAGACTTTGACAACACCCTGGAGCGCCGAGGACACCTGACATACCCATTTCCACTCCAACCACCACTGCAGCCACTGCTTCAAAAACTCTGGCTCCTGGGCCAGGGAAATGACTCCGCAGGCAGAGGCACTTGCCACCAAGCTGGATGACCCAAGTTTGATCCCTGAAATCCATATGGTGGAGGGAGAGAACAGACTCTTGTGGATGTGTGGATGCTTCTGTCTCTCGCTCCCTCACACACACACACACCCCAATCCCAATAAAGGTAAATTGTGTTTAGACTTGCTCCCTGACCAGAGTCAGTGCATACCAGCTCCCTCTCTGCAGCCTCTAACAGAGCTAGCCCCACTGGGGCGGGACCCTCATCTGCTTCCCTTTGCTTTGGAAAGGGGTCAGAAAAGGCAGTCGTGACTGTGAGTTCGGTGCTGGGCTAGACCTCAGGGAGACTGCTTCAGGCTTCAAAGCAGCCCCACACACATTTCCCTTCCCTTCCCTTCGGGTCTGTGCTGGGTCCGTGGAAGGGGGTGGGGGTGGTTTAGAACCCACAACCCTACCTTCAGCAGCCAACTACAAAAGTCACCCTGGTGCAACAAGCACCGCTGTGGTTTTCCAGTCAGGGCTGAGGAGCCACCCACCGCCATGCAGAGTGAACCCGCCGCCCGAGAAGAGGACGGTACAACCCAGACACCAGTTTACTCAGGCAGAAAAGTCATCCAGGGGATGCCTGGGGATACGGGAGAGGTGATGGGTCAGGTCCAGAACAGACATTACCTGAGTGGCTTCCCAAAGACAGAGGGTGGACCACTTGGGCCCAGGGTTCTCCTGGCCCCTGCTACCCTTGCTTTTGTGGCTGAATCGAGAAGACTTTTGAAGAGGGACAAAGGAGGATAAGAGAAACAAAGGCAGCGGAAGCCAGTACTGAAAATGAGACACTAGCACAGCCCCAACAGCAAAGGGAACAATGGCACCCGGACGAAGACTGGGCGGCCATGTCACTTCCACGGGGAGCTCCGTCCTCCAAGTGAGGCTTCCAGCAAGCTCAGGACTATGCTAAAAAGCCAGGGGCCAGCAGCAAGGGAGGGCAGTGTCCAGAAGATGACAAGGGTGAGGTGGGAGTGGCCCACACTGCCTTCGAGGGGTGCTTTCCTTCACGTTTTGGTGCTTCTTGAGTTCTGTCTTAAGCACAAATGCTTCTTTGATGTTGAGCATAACCCCTTCCTGGTGAGCTTGTCTTCCGTGCCCCCAAACACAACCCTCTCCGCCTAACCTCCCCCGCAACTTCAGGCTCAAAGGTCCATTAGGGATCCCAAGTTTAAAATGTCACAAACTAAGCTTACATTTTCTGCTCCCTGTGTCTTTCTACATCTCTTCCCCATGTCCCAATTTGGATTGATGCATGCATGCAACTGATGCACGCATGCTCCATCCGGTCATCAAAGACACTTCGCTTTCTGCCGCTGTCCTCCAGTCTGCCTCTGAAACCCTGGGAAGGCGTCTCTTCCCCTCCACGGGGCCACTGGAGCAGTTCAACCCCTTACTTCTTTGAACCGGCACACTGCCATACAACCCAACCAGCGTCCTGACAGAAACACACGCAAGCTCCCGTCTGTTGTTGGGTTTTGACATTGCACATATAAACACGTCACCCTGAATCTGCCATCTAAGCTCCACGTATATGTGACTGTGGTGGTTTGAATGACAATGTTCCAATAGGCTCAGGTGTTTAACTACTCGGCCCTCAGATGGAGGTGCTATTGGGGAGGTTATGGAACTTTCAGGAGACAGAGGTTTGCTGGAGGAAGTATGTCACTGAGGGTGGGCTTTGATGGCTTTATAGCCTCACTCAATTCCAGTTTGTTCTCTCTGCTCTGTGTTTGAGGTTGAATGCTATAAGCAAAGCTTAGTGGGCCATTATAGTAAGAGCTGGACAATAGTAGTGCCGGAAATAATGCAGACTGTGGGGGACCAGCTCAAGAGGGTTCAGAAGAAAACAAGGTCTCTATTAGCAACTAGGCTATGAGATCATTTGTAGGACATTTTGGATAAGAATCTGGCTTCCTTCTGCCCATGCTCTCAGAACTTGCCCGAGGCTAAAATTAAAAGTAATGAGCTGATTTCTTTAGGAGTGTTTCGAGATAGCTTAGCATTGTGCCAGGCATAGTTAATGCCGGTAACTCTTATGCAGATCTACAATGGAAAAGAGCAAGCAAGACAGAAAAAAACACAAAATGTGCAGTTTGGAGAGAAAAAAGCACTAGGCAATTTAATGCGATAGCTAAGGCATGTACTGAAAGAGGGGCTGGAATTGATAGAGAAATTAGCACCGTGAAGGGCCCACCCAGCTAAGCTTCCAACTTGTGAAAGGAAAACGCCTGAGGGGTGGCTGCACCTAGCATGGCCTGGATGCCACTCCTGGATGCCACCACCCACCGTCCCCAATCTCTCACCCTCTGCTACAAACCTTCCGGGCCTCTACCTCCACCCAGAACCCATGCTATTGCATTCCTTGATAACTTTCTCTAGAATGTTCTCTCCTTCGGGACCCTTCCTATCAAAACATATCTTTTTTTTTTTTTTTTATTGCAGTCATTGACATTTGCTGGTTTTTAGCCAAGGCTCACCCCATGACCTCTGCTCCTCAGAGATAAGCCAGGAAAGGTAAGCTGAAAGCTGACAGAAGGTAGCCTCAGGTGGACTGGTTCCTAGGGTGGGGGTTCTGGAACAAAGAAAAAGACTAGGGAGTGACCTCCTTTGGGGGAATGGCAAGACTTTCCATCCACTTTTTCACATGCAAATAAAAAGTTCCTCTCTTCAAAGTCCTTCACAGCTATTATCCGATCAACACTTCCCACAGCCATAAAATAACTGGGATATGAAAGTCATCTTCCTTTAAAAATCCACAAAAGACAAAGTCCTTGGTCAACACTTTCAAACCCTTCTCAGGAAAAATTCAGGAGGCCAAAGTGCTACAAACAAGAAAACCATTGTGCATCAACCTCTCTGACTTGGCCTGTCTGGGTGAGTGACTGGTCTGAGTGACCACGCTCGGCAGCTTGGGACAAGAGGGCTCAAGCTGAAATGGTGTCATGAACCTAGAATATGGAACCATTTCTAAGCCCTCTCTGTAGAGGACAATGCGTCAATACTTTCCACCTCAGTCTTGGCATTGGGGTTGGGAATGAAGAAAATGAGCCAGAGACCAAAGGGCAGGAGTGACTGAGCACTGGAGGAAGGCCGGCTCGGTAAGGCTTATTAACCTGTGATGGGCCACGGGTAATGAGAAGCAAGACTGACCTGAAAAAAGAACTCTCGGACCCATTTCTTCGCCCAAGCACTCTCCCACTCAGGACACAAGTCTCGGCTTACCTCCCGCTCTCACCCACATGATCTAAAGACGGGGACTCCCACCCATCACTTCGGTAACAACTCAGCCTTTACACAGAACGCTTCACCGATTCTGAACCTCCCAAATCCTTTCAACTGCAGGGACTCTCAGCCTCTGTATTCGTTAAAGGGGGGTTCATTAGTGATTATACTTTGCGATCTTAGTACTAGTTACCAATCTCCATGTAAGAGGGCTCAGGAAAACACACAGCCTCTCAGACTCTGGGGACACCTGAGTCTTGATGAATTCTGCCTCTCCCATTTTCAGACCAATGCAGGTCACCCAACTTTCCCAGTCCTCTGGGAAATAGGACCCCTTTGAGGGCTAAATGAGATGATACGTAGGTGGCTTGGCACACGGGCTGCTCAGGAGCAAATGTCCAGTGCCCAGCTATTTCTGCTGTTGTTAATGGTTCTGCAATGACGTCATTGCTGCCCCACTTGCTGCCACATTGCCCTGGAGTACCCTAGGCACTGCTTCTCGGGTGACACCTCCTCTCACCGTGAAGTTTCAAGTTTCGCGGTGAGGATTGATCCCAACTGCAAACCACCAAGAACAAGAACCACCCTCCCTGGGTAGAGCAGTAAGAAGCTGTAAAAAGCAGAGCGAGACGTAGGGCCAGATTCAACTCTAATCCCGCATCTGCCATCTGCCTCACACACTAAGCTCTCGAGACAGCAGGTGTAAGGACAGCTAACCTAACGATTCTGTAGGGGTATTTATGTGTGTGTGTGTGGGGGGGGGGGAGGGACAAATTACGCTTGAAAAGTACCTCCAAATCTTAATCCTTGTAGGTGTAATTCACATCCAAATTACCCGAATTTACCAAGACAGCATCTCTAAGTATACACCAAGCTAGCCGTTGGAAGGTTTCTTTCTAGCATGTTTTAGAAACGATAATGACATGTAAATACACATTATTGCTCTTCTGTTGGGAGGAGGCGTTGCCTACAAGGCTTTCCTTCCCGCGTGGGTTTTGCGGTGGGCGCTGAAGTGGGAGCTGTTGTTGAAGTCTTTGCCGCACTCCGTGCACTTGTACGGCTTCTCCCCGGTGTGGATTCTCTGGTGGATGATGAGACTGGAGCTCTGGTTAAAGCACTTGCCGCAGTCCCTGCACTTGTACGGCTTCTCGCCCGTGTGGATTCTCTGGTGGGTGATGAGGTTGGAGCGGTCCCGGAAGAACTTGCCGCACTCCAGGCATCTGTAGGGCTTCTCTCCCGTGTGGATTCTCTGGTGGGTGGTGAGCTTGGAGCGCTCGCTGAAGCCCTTCCCGCAGTCTGCACACTTATACGGCTTCTCGCCGGTGTGCGTCCGCCGGTGGTTGGCCAGGGTGGAGCCCTTGCTGAAGGTCTTCCCACACTGGGCACATGCGTATGGCTTCTCGCCTGTGTGGATTCTTTGGTGACTGATGAGGGCAGAGCTCTTAGAGAAACACCTTCCACACTCAAGACACGGATACAGCTTCTCCCCTGAGCCGGAGCGACGGGCTGCGGGGGGGTCCGTGCTCACGCTCACATGCTGAGGTTGTGTAGACATCTCCCACGTAGAACTTCTCCAGTGAGCACTCAAAGATGGACTGTGGCCAAAGTTCCCCCCAGGCTCATTGCACTGGTCGGGAGCTCCCCCTGAGTGGACCCTCTGGTGTTTCAGTAGGTTTGAGCTCTGCTTGAAGCTTTGCCAACAGGTCCCACATGTATAGGGCTTCTCCCCTGTGTGGGTTCTCTGGTGGGTACTGAGGTTGGAGCGGTCACTGAAGCTTTTGCCACAGTCAAGACATCTGTAGGGCTTCTCCCCTGTGTGGGTTTGTTGGTGGGCCTCGAAGTGGAAGTTCCTGCTGAAGCTTCTCACATATGTGTCACATTTGTAGGGTTTCTTTGTGAGGTACAGGCCTTGATGGTCAATGAGTTTTTCTAAGTCCTCCTCAGAGGAGCACTCTTCCCACGGGAGGACGCTCCTCCACGCCCCTTCCTCTTCGATCTCATTCTCCTCCCCCCAGTCATGAGACCGACAAACAGCGTCTGTGGTATAGTTTGATAATGCTTCAGGCAAATCCCCAAAAACATCCTGCTCTGATATCTGGTCTTCATCCTCACGCTTCAGCTCAAAACCTGAAAGAATAGACAGAAATGGGAGGTTTCTGTCCAATCACTGGTTAGCAATAATGAACCTGTATCATGTATTTTGTAAATGTGGCTAGCACAGATTTGTAACTTATGTCCCACAACTTATAAATGTGAGTATCAGGGAAGTTACCAAGTTTTTGTGTGCTTCTAACCCTGAAAAGCTGAGGAGCAGTCTGGAGTACAGTAATCCCCTCCCAGCAGCCAGGCCCACCTCCCCGGCCATTCCTCTGAAGTCTGTATTCAATAATAAACAGCTCATATCATCCTCCAGTACACTGACGAGATCATGTGTCATATCAGTCTGAACCAGTTCCCTAATTACCCAGGTGTGTCCTGGCAAAAGCCAAACTGGCCACCACGTGTGCAGGACAGCACTAAGTAAGAGATTATAGGATCTATGCAATGCACAAAATCTTCTCCTACTTGATGTCCTTCGTCCTTCTATTACATTCCTAAAGCTAGCCACCAAGGTCTATTCCCTTATTGGCCACTTCCTCCTGAGGATGACCATCAAGGTCCAGCTATCAAAGTATTAAATCCAGCAATCAGAAGCCTCCTTTCAGCTCACCTAATTAACATGCCCAATTAAAATAAACCAACTCATCCTAACATGGGGTTTTCCCTTTTTCCCTTTATAAACTGCCCGTTGCCTATGGGCCACTTCTGTCTCCTCTCTATCCAGAGGCAAATATCTCCCCACACCAACCCCACCCCCCCCCCCCCCGCCCCCCTAAAAAACACCAAACCAAACCAAACCAAAAACAACAACAACAAAACCAAACCAAAGAAAAAGGAGAACAAAATGGACAGTTTGCTAGAGAAGACAAACCATGGCCCCCGCCCACCCCCCCCCCCCCCGCCTTGTTCCCCTCCCCTTCTCCCTCATTTCTATCTCTTGTCTCTGTCTCTTATTCCCTGCCTTTTGTCTCTCTGGGGCAAATAAACCTCCTCTGTGCTGAGAACCTGGTCTTGGGGTGGACTGTACCGACTCTAGCTCTTTCAGAGCCCCTCTTTGTACAGGCCGCAGATTCTGCCGACACCGGTGACTCCGGGCTCACCTGTATCTGGAGTGTGAGGATCTGGAGTCAGAAGTTGAATGGCATCTTCATCTTCCACCTCACCCCAGACCTCTTGGTCATCAGCCTCAGCACCGCTCTGCCCAGACGCCGGAAGACCTCTGGCTTCTCCTGCCATCTCCATGGCCCTGATCACGGTCCGAGCCCTCATCAGCGAGTCCAGTTCCTCGTAGAAGGGACAGGTTCCTGGTGAACGGCTGCTCTTGGCTTTCCGGTAGCTTCGAAGAAGGTTTTTGAATCTGTAGCGACACTGCTCCAGCGTGCGCAGGAAACCCAGTGCACACAGCCGCTCTGCGATGGCCCGGTATACCTGGCGGTTCTGGTGGCAGGTGCGGAGCTTTTCAGAGAATGGGGACTCACTGAGAATTGCCAGGAAGGCCTTGGTCTCCTCAAAGCTCCAGTGCACACCTGCTGTCAGAGTGAAGAGTTCAGAAGTATGAGACTTACGGAGCTCTACCTGGTCATTAGGACTAGGGTCACCTGACTTCTAAATAGCTAGGACACAGGTCTCAGAAACTGTCCAAGATCTGGGAACACAAACTTGCTTCTCAGGGATATGCTGGGAAGGTCAGCCAAGGCACCCTCTCTCACCCTTTCAAGGGAGAAATAAGTGGCCATGTTTCAGCAATCGCATCAAGTGAGGGACCCCCTTGCTTCAGCTGATGAGTCACTGAGATTCATGAGAGTCTCCCTGTATTCATTCAAAATGCATCCCATCGCCTTTGGGAATTCTCCTTTCAACAACGCATGGACTCTGAGAATCCCCAGGGACATAAATGGACCCTGAATAACCAGGTGACAGACTATAGCTGAGGACACCCTTTCCTCTCTGGTCAAAGAGTGAAGGGGTGTAATCCAGGCTCCACTCCAGGGCAGGGAAGCGATGTAACCCAAGGAGGCAGCATGGGAGCTGGGGGCCCTATGAGCATGGGGCAGGGGCCCAGGCTCTGCTCCTACCTTGGGGCTCCAGATGCTTCCGTTCACGGATGTCAGTGGCTCTCCCTCTGCAAGATTAGGTGCTTGCCACACAGTGACTCACAGGTCTACACTATGAGCGTCTCCTCTACCTTTTACTGGTTCACTTACTCTTTCTTAACCGAACTTGCTACCTGTGAATTATCGGCTGTTGTCACACACACTAAGAAACACACCTACGGGAATGAAACGACAGCTCAGGTGCCACCTAGGAGAGTCACCAGTGACACCATAGGAAGCAACTGGGGTCTCTCCAGGTCTAGCAAGGCTTTAGAATTATTTCTCCTATAACCAGGAGATGTGGCCACAAGAGAAGAGATTGTGGGCCTAAGGATGGTCCAGGGACTGGGCACCTCACTCTGGTGTCCCTGACGACTTAGAGTCTGAGCTCTAGCCTCAGAAGCAGTAGGCTGGCTGATAGTCATCCAGTTAAAGGCCACGTTCTTACCAATGCGGTTCTGGAGCAGAGCTGGGCCCCCTGCAATCCTGGGACCCCGAAGAGACTCCTCAGTGGCCAGGCCAGAGCCCCTGCAGTCTTCGGGTGCCTCCTTGGGCTCCCAGCTCGCTTCCTCTTGGTCATCCATCTCAACATCACTGTCGCCCAGTCTGGGGAGCGCCACAGCCTCTCCTGGCCCATTTGTAGTTCTTCTGATGGCTGTCCGGGCCCTCACCAGAGCCTCCAGCTCCTCGTAGAAGGGGCAGGTTCCCGGTGGGTGGCTGTTCTTGGCTTTCCGGTAGTTCCGTAGAAGGTTTTTGACCCTGTAGCGACACTGCTCCAGCGTCCGCAAGAAGCCTCGTGCCCGCAGCCGCTCTGCGATGGCCCCGTATACCTGGCGGTTCTGGTGGCAGGTCCGGAGCTTTTCAGAGAATGGGGACTCACTGAGAATTGCCAGGAAGGCCTTGGTCTCCTCATAGCTCCAGTGCACACCCGACACCTTCACATCCTCCCCATCACACTGGCATTGTTCTTCCTGGGCCCCGGAGTCCTCCTGGGCTGGTGTCTGGGCTGGTTGGTTTGGCTCACTGTCCAGGCTAGAATCTGCCGTGTTCCCATTCCCAGAATGTATAAGGCTCAGACCCGAAATCCCTGGTCCTCGCTCGTGCTGGGACGTGACACCTGGCTTAGAAACCGGAACTCCTACACAAAAGGAAGAACAGACGTGACAGAGCAGAAACGACCTGTGGGACTGTGTTTCTCTAAAGTGTCCCCGAAACTGTCACCCTTCTCCTGAAAGGCCAATGAGAAATCCCATGCTCATCAACCTGGAGAGAGGTGCCTACTGGCACCTCACTGAAAATGAAAGGGACCTGCAGGTTCCTTGTTTGCTGTGCCGTTGTTATGAAATACACCATACAACAGGGTGGCTAGTATGGATCCACAAACAACAAACAGGACCTCAAGCAACCCAGTCAGACTCAACTCCACTGTTGGAGGGAAGGAGCATGTGTGGGGGGGGGTTTGGGGGTGTGTGTATGTGGGTGGGTGTGTCTGTGTGTTTTTCTCTTGCTGGGAAACTTCTGACCTCCTTTGCCACTGTTATTTATAAGACAAAACAACACTAAATGTGAAGCAAATATTGATGGGAGAGGGGGGAGAAGGGGGGGAGAGAGGGGGGAGGGGGAGGGATGATTGTAGAGTCCTTAGGGCTAATCTGTGCTGTGCTTGGAACACTTTGTCCTCTGGGCTCCTAACAACATGAGGAGATGAATGTCCCGATTTTTCAGACTGTAGCTGGTCTCAAGGATGGCCTCCCCAAAAGCACCTGGTCCTAACAAAGCACAGAGCCTTCGGTTACAGTAAATGTTTGGGGAGAGCCAGATAAAGAGTTTAGAGGAAAAGTCCTTTCAGAGTACCCTAATTCAGCATTTCTTGAAGTCGGTTCTTGTAAGCATTATTGGGGTCCTACTGTCTAGTGATGTGGTGATATACATGAACCCTAACAAAATTTGCTTGAAGATCAGAGAGACAAAGGAACAAGCCACTGCCACGTCTCACCTCTCCAATTCCACGAATCCTCTGACTGAATACCTGTGAGTTCTCAGCCAAAAGCTCCCCAACCGAAAAGGGCTCCAGTTCCTGTCTCCTCATGTCTTATATACCTTTCTCCGCCCAGCCATTACTTCCTGTCGTCTCAACCTCTCTAGTGCTGGGATTAAAGGTGTGTGTGCTTCCCAAGCAAAGGCATGAGATCTCAAGTGCTGAGATTAAAGGTGTGTGCATCACTGTCTGACTCTGTTTCTCTCCTAGACTGAGTCAATCTCATGTAGTCCAGGGTGGCTTTGAACTCCTAGAGATCCAGACGGATCTCTGCCTCCTGAGTGCTAGGATTAAAGGTGTGTGCCACCACTGCCTGGCATCTATGTTTAATCTAGTGGCTTGTTCTGTTCTCTGATCAGGAAAATTTTATTAGGGTACACAATATTTATCACCACATTTCCTCTTTTTTGTCTAAAATAATAAATGAAGGTTTCAACTAATATAAGAAAAACTATATACAGTAAGTATATACAATATATACAGTCAAGAATTACATTAATGGCTGGTGGCACACGCCTTTAATCCCAGCACTCGTAAGGCAGAGCCAGGCAGATCTCTGTGAGTTGGAGGCCAACCTGGGCTACAGAGAGAGATCCAAGACAGGCTCCAAAGCACAGAGAAACCCTGTCTTGAAAAAAAAAAAAAAGTATTACATTAACAATGTCTAGTCCATTAACATTTGACAAATTCAGAGAAAATACTCCATTATTTATCCTATTTTGGCGAGTCTAAAATGTTGTGCCTAATTTACTTTCTATCCTAACTTGTATTACCAACCCAAAACTATCTTTTGATGTCTTTTGCAGTTACACACTTTATGCTCTTTAGGGAGGTGAGCAGCCCGCAAGCTTCTAGTCTGTTTCACCCCATTCATTATGTGTCCATCCTCCCTCAGAGGAAGGGCCCGCTAGTGTGGGCTTTCCACGTGGGCGGCCTTCAGGAAAAGGTGTGCCGGCCGGTCACACGGGCTTGGAGCACTTTGAAGCCTCTGCGACTCATTGTTCTCATAGCTTCATACACTGATCTCAAGAGCTCGGCTCGTAGGAATCTGCCCCCAAAAGGCAGCTCTCCATGGGTGCTGAAGGGGCAGAGTTTTGAGACAGAGGTCTCGGTCCAGTTCCAGGCCCAAGGTGACTGCACCTGGCCACGAGCCCCAGCAGGGCCAGCTCCAGGAAGCAGCATGCAGCCCAGTTCCCAACCCGGCAGACTGTGCGAGGGTGGTTCCAGGAGCCAGTCCTCCTCCTCCCCGGCCAGTGCAGAGAATGCAGAGCTCTGGCTCCCAGGAAGAGGAAAACCCCTCCTGGGAATGAGTGGACCAGGAATGGGCTGGCTGGGCCCTGGCGGGGAGCACACTCTCCTTACCCAGGCACGCCCCGTTCCCACAGTCATCTCCGGCAGGGTCCTGGCAGAGCTCCTCCTTGGCTTGTCTACTGGGACTCAGGGCTTCCTGGGACACACACAGAGAGGGCCTTAAAAATCACTGACACTTGAAAAGGAGCTGGGAACCTGACCAGGCCTAAGAAAGATCAGGACACTTGAGCGATGCCATGTGCGGGGCCACCGTCGCAGGCAGTGAGTGCCAGCAGACCCAGTGGACAAAGGCGAACACCCCATGCCCTCTACCCCTCCGCCGGGGGAGCTCCTGGGGGGAGGGGCGTGGAAAAGAAAACAGCAGTTTACCTGGGACTGGGCTGCCGCCTCCCAATCTCCAGTGCTCCCCATCTTTGGAACAGTTGGGGCCTGGGGTGTGAGGACAGCTGAAGAAGAGAGTAACCCCGTGAGACACAAGCTTCAGTTCTCTAAACCACTTCCTGCCAAAAGGGCACACTGGGGTCAAGGCAAGGGTGTCCCATGCCTGGTGCGCATTCCTCCTGACTTTCCCTTCGGATGCTAGGACTCCCTAAGCCATCTTCAGTGGTGTGCCACGTGTGAGGTGCCTGTCCCCGTCCTGTGAGCAACACGCACCCCATGCCACACCTGCACCTTCTGTATAACTCCAGCTAGTGAGGTGTCTCCAGGCATCCTCCTTCACAGAGCCTTTTAACTTGACTGCTAAGTAACAGCATCCATCAGACATTTGTCCTGGGGTGTACCTTGAATTCTGCACATCCTTTCTCCCATAGCCCAGGCCGGTCCCTCATTCTCTTGTGTGCCCATATCCGTGGTACTTACCACTCTCTTTCAGGGGCTGAGGTGGCATCTGGGAAAGGTCGGGGTGTGTATTCAGCTGTCTCTGGAGCTGTGTCTCAGGGCAGTGAACCACTGGCTGCAGCTGGAAGCTCTGAAACTCTTGAACTGCTTCGAAGGACCCGGACTCTTCAGCACACAGCTCCAGTCCCTACATACGAAGTCAGAAAACTCCAGTCATCAGCTCAATAAGGTCCCTTCAGTGAGACAGGAATGCTATTTTGTGTATGAATGTGTTCCAGGGGTTAACAGACTCTTAAGATCCAAAGAGGGTTTCAAACACAACGAGAAAGCCATGCATTTATACTACCAAATGAGTTCTGTCTCGTTGGATTCTGGGAGGCTGTACGAGTATTTCAAGCACTATTCAAAGTGTTCTTGATTCACAGGGACAAATTACATAAAATTACATTTGGGGACATTAAAATATAATTTATAAGCCTTTCATAAGCCTGACTGCCTCTTTAGTAGTTACAATCTACAGACAAACTGCATGTCTAGACTCAATGGCAATCCTTTCTCTCCACCCAGCTCCTCCAACCATCATCATACTACAGCAAAGATTCTAACCCCCTGGATCGGCACTGTCATGTGGTAATATACTGTGTACCCTAATAAAATGTGCCTGAAGATCAGAGAACAGAACAAGCCACTAGATTAAACATAGATGCCAGGCAGTGGTGGCACACACCTTTAATCCTAGCATTCGGGAGGCAGAGATCCAGCCAGATCTATGAGTTCAAAGCCACCCTGGACTACATGAGATTGATTCAGTCTAGGAGAGACTAACAGAGCCAGGCAGTGGTGGCACACACCTTTAATCCTAGTACTTGGGAGTCACACGCCTTTAATTCCAGTACTTGAGATCTCATGCCTTTGCTACCAGTATTTGGGAAGCACACAGGCCATTAATCCTAGCACTAGGAATGAAGTGATATGGCTGGGCAGAGAAAGGCATATGAAGTGTGAGGAGACAGAATCTAGAGCCCTTTTGGCTGAGGACTCAGAGACATTCAGTCAGAGGATTCATTGAGTTGGTGAGCTGAGAAGTGGCTGTGGCTTGTTCCTTTGTCTCTCTGATCTTCAGCATTTACCCCAATATCTGGCTCCAGGTTTTTTATTATAAGATCATTTAGAGTTCGAGCAACATGGTCAACACAGAAAACAGGCAGATTTAAGTGACAATGAAGATGTGTGGACACCCCTGAGGGTAGATCTCATGTTTTCAGTCCAGTGAGTAAGGAGCTCAGACGTCACCACTCCATCTCAGCAAGAAACAAGCCCAACAAACGAAAACATCAAAGCTTTTAGATCCAGCAGGGAAGTGAGGCCACACCACACATGCCTGTCCTCAGAGCTGGAGAAGTAAGAGGAACTTCACCAGAGCAAAAACCTCTGCAGGGTCCAGTGCTGGGCAGGAAAGCCCTACACCCAGGGCAGGAGCGATGGCTCAGCAGCCGAGAGCACCCGCTGCTCTTCCAGAGGACCAGGTCCAGCTCCCAGCACCGAGTTCACATGTGAAACATCTGTGTCATGTCCAGCAAAGACTCCTTCCCTGCAGACGGCTACTCCCTGTACTGCTCACAAATGTCCTGTCTCCTGTTCTGTGGTGACCCCCGAGCTGTGGGAGGGTGTATGGTATAGATGTCCCAGTTGAGAGCTGAGTACTCCAGTCTTTTAACCCTTCTCTTTCCATTATTCCCTTGGCCTCTCCAAACCACCTATATCCTAGCTCTTCCCTTGAGATCCTCCAGGCCCTAGTTATCTCCATCTGTCAACCCGACACAGCCCAGAGCTGAGGGAGTCCAGCTGGGGGAGTGCCCTGACTAGATGAGCCCATGCAGACAGGGCACTCCCCTTGCTAACTGGTGTGGAAGGGCCTAGGCCACTCTGGGCAGTGCCATCACTAGGCAGGTCGGCCTGGGCTGTCGAGAGCAGGCTGAGCAAGGCAGAGAAGACAAGCAGGTAAGCAGCTCTCCTCCGTGGGTTCTGCTTCGGTTCCTGCTTGAGCTCCGGCTCTGACTTCCCTCGATGATGGGCTGTGAGCTCAAGTGTAAGGCAATCAAACCCTCTCCTCCCCAAGTTGCTTTGGTCATGGTGTTCTCTCACAGTACTGCCGAGGACAATTTCAAGAGCCATGCCATATTGCCTGCCTGAGTTAAGTTTCTGTTGTCCAGTATTGAGCCCCGAACCAGAAACTTTTGACATGTCTGGACAAGTCCTGAGTTATTAGAAAATAACATTTCCTTGTCTTTCTGCTACAGTGACCACTAGTAACAATGTTTTGTGGTTGGGTTGCTTGGTTGGGTTGCTTGGCAACTCAAGAGTCCCCTGATCTTTTTCCAAAGAAAGTTTCCTGGTCTGCTTACTATAAAACCCACCTGAGAAAAATAAAATTTTGCAGCTTGATCAGAATACTGTCTTGCTGTCAATTCTTTGTGTCTCTTGTCCCTTCATTCGCCATTCCCCCTTCTAGGGTCTCTGCTGAAGATCCCGCTGGCTGGGACACAGTGCCAGAAGGTTACTAACAGCCCATGGCCCTTACTAGTTCCCTGAGTTCTATGGGCACTCCAACTTAAACATGCACCTAAAGCATCCACATTCAGGAGGGAACACGTGTCATTTGTCTTTCTGGGTCTGCATTGCAACGCTCAAAATTATTTCCAGCTCCATCCATTACCTGTGAATTCCATAATTCATTTTCCTTCACAGCTAAATAACATCCCACTGTATAGATGCACATTTTCATTATCCACTATTGTCAGAAGGATATCTAGGCTGATTCCATTATCTGGTTATTGTGAATAACGCAGAATGAACATGGGTGAGAAAGTATCTCTGTGGCCAAATATCGTCCTTCAGGAACATGCTGAGAAGTGGTGGAACTGGATCACATGGTACATCTATTTCTAGCATTGGGGAAACCTCCACGCTGATCTGCACAGTGGCTGCACCAGTTTGCACTTCCACTAATAGTAAGTGTTCCCCTTCCCCCATATCCACGCCACCATTTGCTGTCAGCTGTTTCCTGTTGTTTTAATCTTAGCTATTCTGCCCGGGCTAAGATGAAATCTCAAAGTACTTCTAATTTTCATTTATCTGATAGCTACAGAAAGATTCTGAACATTTAAACAAATACTTCTCAGTCATTTGTATTTCTGCTTCTGAGAATTCTCGGTATAGTTCCATGCTCCAAATTTTAATTGTTTTTTTTTTTTTCTGGTTTGTTTGTTGCTTAGGTTTTGTGTTTTTATCTTGTTTTTGTTTATTTTTTGAGGTTGGCTGTTTGGTTTGTCTATTCTAGATACTAGCCCTCTGTCAGATGTATAGATGGAAAAGTTTTCCCCCCATTCTGTAGGCTGTCTCTTTACTCAAATGATGCCCTGTTGCTGTACAAAGCTGTTTAGTGTCATGAGGGCCCCACTTGTCAAATGTTAATCTTAATACCTGTGCCCCGCTTAGAAAACCCTTTCTCGAGTCGGTAAACTGAAGCGCGGTCCCTGCTTTCTCCTCTATCCCATTCAAGCTATCAGGTCACATGTTGAGGTCTTCGGTCCTTTTGGAGTTGAGTTTTGTGCAGAGAGATGGAGATCTAGTTCATTCTTCCACATGCAAGCTATCCAGTCTGAGCAGCATCGTTTGTTAAAGATGTTGCTGTGGTGTTCCGAATGAGAATCCCCCACAGGCTCGAATGTCTGCATGTTTGCTTCCCAGTTGGCAGACGGTTGAGGATGGATTAGGAGGTGTGGCCTGGGAGAAGGTGTATCACCAGGGGTGGGCTTTAAGGTTTCAAGCCCACACCAGGCCCAGTCTCTGTCACTGTCTCTCTCTCCCCTCTCTCTCCCTCTATCTTGCTAATCGGGATGTAAGCTTTTAGCTACTGCTCTCGCACCATGCCTGCCCACCACCACACTTCCCACCATGATCACAGACTAGCCCTCTGAAACTGTAGCTTCCTTTAAAGTTGCCTTGGTCATGGTATCCCTTCACATCAACAGAAGAGTGACTAAGACAATTGTTTTTTCTCTGAGTATACTTTTTTGCTACTTTGTCAAAATCAGGTGGCTGTAGGAGTGTAGGCTTTTATCTAGGCCTTCGTTTCCATCACATTTATCAAATGTGTTTGTTTCAATGCCAGAACCATGCTGGTTTTATTACTGTTGCTCTGAAGTATAACTTGAAATCAGAGATGGTGAGCCTTCAGCAGGGTTTGTATTGTTCTGGATGGTTTGGGCTACCCTGGATCATATGGACCTTAAGATTTTTTTCAATTTCTATGAAGAACTGTGTTGGGATTTTGATGGGGATTATATTCAATCTGTAGACTGTTTTCAGTACAATGACCATTTTCACAATATTAATCCACAGTCCATGAGCATGGAAGATGCTTCCATCTTCTGGTATTTCTTCAGTGTCTTAAAGTTTTCACTGTATGAGTCTTTCAGTTTCTTGGTTAGATTTATTCCAAGGTTTTGATGGATATTTTTTTTTGGGGTGGGGGCAGGTAATTGTGAATAATCACATGTCCCTGATTTCTTTCTCAGTGTTTGTTGTTGGCATATAGGAAGCTACTGATGTTTTTGTGTTAATTTTATATCCTGATACTTTTTTGAATATGTTTATCAGCTATGAATAAGGATTTTTACATTTTCCTTTCCTATCTGCTTCTCCCTTTTATCTCTCTTTCTTATTGCTCTAGCTAAGAATACAAGCACTATATTGAACAGGAAAGGAAAGAGGGAACATTCTTGTCTTGTTCCTAATTTTAGTGGAAATATTCCATTTAGTTTGATATTGGCTGTGGGCTTTTATCATACCCTTTATTATGTTGAGATATGTCCCCTGTATTCCCAGATTCTCTAGAATTCTTATTATGAAGGGATGTTGGAGTTTGTCAAAGGTCTTTTCTTCATGCAATGAGACGATCATGTGGTTTCTGTATTTGGATCAATTTATGCACAAGATAACATTTATTAATTACTGTTGAACCATCCCTGTATCTCTGGGATGAAGCTGACTTAATTGTGGTAGATGATATTTTTGATGTGTTCTTGAATTCGGTTTGTAAGTATTTTATTGAGAATTTTTATGTCTATATTCATTAAGGAGAGTGGCCTATAATTCTTTTTTTGCTGGATCTTTGTCTAGTATTGATTCTAAGTTTATGTGGAGAGGAGAAAGACCCAGAATAACAGAGAATCCTCACCAAAGCCTTACAGATGCCAAGCAAGCCCATGAAAGGTGTTTATACTCTTAAGATTGAAACTGCAAACTGGGGGATGGGAAGAAGGTTCAGTCAGTCGAGTGCTTGTCCCAGCAGTATAAGGACCTGGGTTCAGATCCCAGCACCTGCATTAAAAACAGTGCACACCTGTCATCCCAGCACCAGGGAGGTGGAGGCAGGAGGATCCCTGGAGCTCAATGGCCAGCCACTCTGGCCAATCAGTGAATTACAGGCTCAGTAAGGGACCCTGTCTCAAAACTAATGTGGAGAAACTATTGAGGAAGATTCCTGACATCAACCCCTGGCCTCTACAAACATGTGCATACAAACTCACTCATATGTGCACCCATCCACATGTATAAGAAATGACAACTTAAAATGTGTTATCATTTCACAACTATCAGAATGCCTGGCATCCAAACACGAAACCAAAGACAGGCAACAACAGAGACTCATGCTCACTGCTCGCAAAATGCAGAATAGTACGGCCACTTTCCGAAACAGTTTGGCAATTTCTTATAAGACTATAAACATTCCTTTGCCATAAGATCCAACAATGTACTTCAGTTTTACCCAATGGCATGAAAACTTACGTGCACATAAAAACCCACATGTGACATTTACAGTGCCTTCATGCCTAACAAATGTAGACACAACCAAGATGTCCTTCAGTCTTGACTGGAGGAATTGGTACAGCCAGACAAAAGAACAGAACTCCATGCTAAAAAGAAAAGCAATAGCAAGCCATGAAAAGACATGGAGGTGCACTAAGTATGCATTACTGAGTAAAAGAAGCCAATGCAAAAGGCCACAGATCATGTAACTCCACCTCTGTGGCATTCAGGGAGAAGCCACACCAGGTGATGGTAGAAAGATCAGTGGGTGCCAGGGGTTGGAAGGAGGAGTTAGTAAGCAGAACACACAGGATTGTTAAGGCAGTGACACTATTATATGACACCATAATAGCGGACACATGTCATTATGTGCCTGCCAAAACCCATACAATGCATACCACCAACAGCGAGACTCAGTGTGAAGTCCATGATCTGGGTGATGATGTACTCAGCAGGCTCGCTGGGGTAATAAATGTTCTACTCTGCTGGAGGATGATGATGACCAGGGATTCAGGGCGTCTCTAAGGACACTGTACTCTCCACTCAGTTCTGAACTGAAAACTATCTTAAAAACAATGGTGTGCCTTATCAGAATACCCGTGGAAGAGCTGAGTTCCACATGAGTGACGCCAGATGAAAAGACAGTGGCACTCAAAGACCCCTTTCAGGGGATCATCTTAGGGCCACTTAGCCCTGAATGAAGGCACCGACCGTTCTGAGGTGGTGGCTCACCCTGAGGAACAGGAATTTCATCCTCCTATGGAGAGTCAGATGTGGCCTCCAGAGAGGGTAATGAGTGAGAGCTCGTGAGCAGCGTGAAGACCACAAGCTGCGGCACATGCGCTGAAGGAAGCTCTTCCCTGTGCACCCATTGCCGTGAAGTCTGTGAGCACCCAGGGGCAGGCAGAGAAGCTGGGGAATAAAAGTAAGTCATAGGGAGAGGGGCCCAGGGAAGATGCTACTGCTTTCTCTTCTCTATTTTAGAAGCAGATCAACCTTTGGTCAGCTCACAGTGGTGTCTGGTCTCACTTCTCACTTTACAGATGAAGGATCAAAGATCTTGATTTAAGGCAATCCTCATCTCTAGGTCTCACGTGTGTATCTTCCAGCTCTTTCAAAGTCCTAAGCCTTCCATTGTTTCCTCTCTGCAGCTTACGGCAAACAGCTAACATCTTGGAAGAAATGTCACAGGGGCGGAGCGTACTTTCAAAAGGCATGTGCTCACGCTCTGTTCTCTGGCCTGAAATGGTGGCTTCCCGCCAGTCAGTAAAGGAACCCCAGAGCAAAGCCACCAAGCTCAGCCTCCCTTGTCCCACTCTCACATGTTTGGAGCTTTGCAGTCTGAATGGACAGAAAGCCTGCCATTTACAACATACGTCTTCTCAAACACAAAGTCCTCACAACCAAATGTGGTCAAGTCTGAGGCCACCCACGGGGCTTTCTGACTGTAACAAGTGAAGAGCTGCAAGATTTTGAGGCAAAGGTTCTGGAAGGCTGCCTCAGTCTGAAGCCAGCTACGGAGTTCACTATACAGGGCAGATGCACGCAGGACCCACATTCTGTGTCATAGGAAAATGACGCGGTATATCACAGGCCCTCAGAGTGGCTTACAAACTGTTGAAACTGTGAATGCTGAATCCGTAATACCACCTCCCTTTCCGGCTCGACCACTTCACTATACACATTGGATATGCTACTTACCGCACTGTTAACTCACTTAAAAAACAGCAAAAGGGGAACCACGCTTCTCAGAGCGTGGGGCTGACTGGATGAGGATATACAGAAGGGGCTCAGAACAGGGCCTGATGCGCAGTGGGTGCTCACAGAATGTCAGTGAAGGCCTCACCCGAGCCTCACACTCAGAGGCATTTTAATTCCATGTTTGCATATGAAACATCAGCCCTGCAGCAGAAAGAGCTGACCTTGAAGCCGGGGGTCGGAGTTTAGTTCACTGCTCAAGTGACCTCTGGGGACCATCTGACCTTTGGAGCCCTAATCTACAAATGGGGGAGGAATACAATTTCTGTCTATGTGCTGCTGTAAGCATCCAAAGAGACCCAAGTATGTATAATGACTGTGTTAAACATAAAACATAATACAGACTAGGCACACTGTATGGTACTGGGAGACAGTTTCGATGGTAGTTAGGCATACACACTCTAGTTAGACTTTTCTAAGTGCAGATCTTGGCTCTACAACCCAGTAGCTAGTGATTTTGAACCAATTATCTATTTTTTTCTTCGCCTCCATATCCTCACTAGTAAAATCAGCCTAACGGTATCGAGCCACCTTATTAAACTGTGGCAGGATTAAATGATAGAATACGCCCTGCTACACAGCAGGGCTCAGTACACAGCAGTCGCTCAATGATTACCACTATTGCAGTTTGGGGCCGATTATGAACTCAGGCTCAGCCGCCCTACCTTGCCTAACCAGCTGCTTGGAGAGCAGACCACGCGCCTCACCTGCTGTCGGGCAGCCCAGGCCTCCCGGTGCCAATCCTCCACCAGGGCCACAGCCTCCTCCCCGCTCTCGGGGTGTCGTGCCTGCACCCAGGTCTGCACCTCCCTGGGTAAGATGGACAGGAACTGTTCCAGAACCAGCAGTTCCAGGATCTGCTCTTTGAGGCGGATCTCAGGCCTCAGCCAACGACAGCAGAGAGCCCAGAGCTGGCTGAAAGCTTCATGGGGCCCAGCTGCATCCTGGTATTGGAACTGCCTGAAACATCGGCGGGAAACCTCGGGACCAGGGACACGGCCATGGACCTCCTTCTGGGGTTTGGAGATTGGTCCCCATGAGTCCTCTTCTAGTTTCACAATCAGGAGGTCTTCAGGCTCTGGTGGAGGTGAGGCCACAGCCATCATCCGGCCTGCAGGCTTCCCTTTGGCGGGGCTGTCCTCATCCAGGGACTTCCTGCATTGGCAATGTGTCCTTCCAGGGACTCCTGGGGAAGGACTGCTCCCCAAGACTGTGAAGGCAGAAAGACAAAGGGCCGAGTGAGCAAGAGGACCCAGGAGCATCACTTTCCTCACTTCTATCAAACCTCCTACAGCCTGTGAAAGGCACAGAAAGACTCAGATACTCCACTGCAAAGGGCGGGAAGTGAGACCCTGATCAGGTGTCGAAGCCAGCACCTAGCTCCCTTTACAGACAGACAGCACCATGTTACACCCTTCGGGACACGCCTAAATGTGAAGGCGAGAACTCTGGGCCTCTGAGCCCAGTCCTGGTGTGGCCTTCCTCCCTTCTACACCATGTCCGAAAGCTAGCCTTCCCTCAAGCTGGTTCTGAGAGCCACCTCCTCCATGAGACCTGTCTTCTGAGACTTCCTGAGACTTCCTCGGTGTTCCTCCGTGGATGGTCATCTTGGAAAATCCCCCTCACTCTCGGGTCGTCGCACACATCCGACATTATTTACCATCTCCAAACTCAAGTTTCTCAAAACTCCAGCAAGGCAGTCTGCGGGCCTCATGACTCCAACATTTCCACTTGACTATCCCCTAAGTGCCTCATGTTCAATGGGTCAGAACTGAATCCATCATTAGGTATGATACCTATAATCCTAGCAATCAGGAGGCCGAGGCAGGAAGATCCTAAGTTCAAAACCAAACTGAGCTACAATGGCAAAACTCCGAGTCAAAAACCAAAACTAAATAAATAAATAATAAAATGCCGAGTTTGTCATCTTGTATGGCAAGCCCCTCTGTCTTCCAGAGCTCTCCATTCAGTGCAAGGCATCACTTTCCATCACCCTTTCTTCCAGATGCCACACCTGGTTCACCACGAAGACCCGGCACTTAACATCCTCAGTGCCACTACATCCTCGGTACCACCAATACCACCACAGAACATCTCATCCCATCCTGCACTTGCCCTCCAATGCATGACCAGGCCATCTCCCTCCCCAGCCCTCACCCTAAAGTCCAGTCCACTCTGCGGAACACCTGACTGCCTGGCCTGCCGGTCCTCCCCACTGCTCCCTGAGCCCTCCACAGAGCCACCACCAGTCAGTCCTTCCTCGCCTACCTACTTCTCTCCTGAACCTGCACGTTTTCCATGGGGCCTTCCCGTTCCCTCAACAGGACTTGTCCTCAGTCACCAGTTTCCACGGCATCTTGGGCGCTCCCTTGCAACCATGATCACCCTACTGTAAATACCATACCGGCCAGACCCCAGCTTCCCATGGCTCTAGCACAGTGCTCAGCACACGGAGGAAGCACAAGAAACAGGAAGTTGTGGATGGTGAACTCGTGAGGCCAGGATCCACTAGACAAGGAACAATTGGTTTCCTGCCCATGTCAAAAGGGTTCTTTTCTCTCCAACTTCCACCTTTCCACGACACCATCTTCTATAAGACACTGGGTGGACATGTGCATGCTGGCATCTAAGGCGAGGACAGCCTCCCTGATGACACCCGCACTGGCTTCCCTTAGAAAACAAGCTCTTCATGGCAAGTCTGATAACATGAAAACACACCCAACCCAAGGAGGCCATTGTCTGCATCTAAGCTGGAATGGCACAGCACAACCCAGAGGTTCTGGATGATGGCATCTGGTATTCTGGGTCATCTGACTGGGCCGTATGGAAACAAGACAAAGGTAACAACAACAACACATACACACACACACACACACACAAAAAAAATAGAGGCTGGTCATAAAGACATCCACGAACTTAGGAAGATGCTTGGAGAAAAATGCATGGCCACTGGGCTACTCCTGGCTCATCCCTCTGCTACCAAACCACCTGTTACTTCCTTCAGGAAGAGTTCCTTGGTGTGCCCTTGTCATGCCCTACCCGCATCCCCAATCCTGTTCCCAAGGCAGCTGACACACACCTCTGACAGAAATGTTCGCCCATGCTTTGTCGTCGTCACCTGTTCCTACACTAGCCAATGCCACCACTCTGTATCACAAAGGCCAGAACAGTACCTCATATGTGATAAACAGCAGAGCCATTAAGGAACTTTGATATCTTGTATTAAATATATGAATCTGTTATATCAAAAGTCTAGAATGTCCATGAGTTAAAGAATTGACATTTCGGTCCGGGTGGTGGTGGCACACGCCTTTAATCCCAGCACTCGGGAGGCAGAGCCAGGCGGATCTCTGTGAGTTCAAGGCCAGCCTGGGCTACAGAGTGAGTTCCAGGAAAGGAGCAAAGCTACAGAGAAACCCTGTCTCAAAAAAACAAAAAAAAAAGAATTGACATTTTGTAACTTTTTGTATAAACACATTTTGCTGATACACTAATCCAAACACAAGGACTATCACACACAAGGACTAACCCATCAGGCATTCACAGAGTACCCATTATGTGTCCTGGGAGCTACAGAGCCAACAATAACAGTAAGTCAGCAAGCAAAGACTCCTATGCTCCTGCATAAAGGCGACATCCATCAGGCAATGAGCAGCCAGCCACCAGTCCCAAAGCCAGAGCCTAGAATATTTTTTTGGTGGGGAGAAAGATCCTAAAAACCTCTAAGGTTCATTTCAAATAGATGTCAGAAACCCCTGGGGGATCATATATCCATCTTCTCCATATGGACTACGGACTCCTGTGGGGGAAAGGAGGTCAACACAGTCAGCCAAGAGCTGGGCAGGGGCAGACTCTAGGCCTGAGGCTATGAGGTGCCTTTTATCTTTTATCAGTACTAAGTACATGCTAAGCACTCTCCATCCATATCTGCAAGGAATCCTCCAGGAAAGCTAGCAGAGGGCCATTAGTGCTGAGCTGAACATCACTGACCTGTAACTCCCGCGCCACAGAGACCAGAGAGAGAGAGAAGGGACACTATTTAAGTTTCAGAGTCGATTCCATCGTGTCTGTTCCAGAGTGGGCACATGGCGCTGACCCCTCTGTCTCTGCCACTCTCTGCCTGCTTTTAGTTTCCTGAGCCTTTCCTGTCACTGAATGGAAGTGGGGTGTCTTTCCGACAGCTTTATACCAGACCAAAGTCAACTCTTCTGCCTCCTGCTCACACTAGGAAACCTGGCTGTGTTAGTGTGCTTTTGACAGTGTGCTGACTGAAAGAATTGGCTCCTTACCTAAGGCTGCCCAGGCTGTGATGCATAGAGGAAAACCGAGCTTCTGGGGGGCGGGGGGGAGAAAACTACCAAATGGCAGTTAAGACCTAGGCACAGGTCAGTCTTCTCCCATCATTTTCCTCAATCACATCCCATAGCCTCATACCGGCTAGAATTATGCTATGGGAGACAGAAAAGACATCTGGGGAACAGTGAGAAGATGGACTCTAGATCTGCTTCTGCTCCTTCCATGCTGTGTGACACTGGACAGGTCAGACAGCCTCCTGTGGCCTCCCATCTGAGCTCTCGCCCCAGGCCAACTTGTACACAAGGCCGGAATAAGCAGGCAGAGGAAGTGAACTGGAACAGCCGAGTAAATACACGGAATGGGTAGGGACTGTGACCAACCATGACACCCTGAGGGGATGTAGGCTCAGGATGTCCCCAGTTCTTCTGCCTTTTCCGAGAGAAACTAGACCTCTAGAGTTTCAAATGCTGGCAACACTAGAACTGTTTCAGACACCATGAGGATTAAAGAAAGCACGATAGTTTCTTCACCCCGCAGGGGCTGCCATTACATCTCCTCTTAGCTAAAAAACCACCACAAAGGTATCTTCCAAAACCCAGAAGGACTCAGAAGGGGCACAGGCTCCCCAAGAGAGGGAGAGGTGCTTAATCAAAATTAGGGCCACCAGATTTCATAGTAAGAAATCCTCAGATTTAATTTTTTTTAATTGTTTTTAATTGGGACTACTTAACCATGGGAAAGCTGAGCAAGGATTTGGTTCCTGGGGCACTGACTCTGAGTGTGGACACAAGTTCTCTCCTCCACTGGCTCCTGCAACCATAGGAGGAGGGGAGAAGATTCTCCCTGGGACCTGAAAAGAAGACCAGATTGGTTGGGGACCTCCAAACAGTAAGAAACTGCGAGTTCCCAAGGCTTGTCGGTTCCACTTGGCTGAGAGTTTCAAGCTATGGCTTAAAGCAGGCGGGAGTCACACGTAAGGACTCAAACTGGAAACAGCAGAAACCTCACTTAGCACAGCAACTTCAGTCACTGGAGATAACTACCTAGAGTAGTCTGCTGAGAAACCTGTTCTGCGTGAAGAGACTTTGTGATGAATTAGCAATGGCTACATGTATCCCTGTGTGTTAGCTACATGAATCCCTATGTGTTAGCTACATGAATCCCTATGTGTTAGCTACATGTATCCCTGTGTGTTAGCTACATGTATCCCTATGTGTTAGCTACATGTATCCCTGTGTGTTAGCTACATGAATCCCTATGTGTTAGCTACATGTATCCCTGTGTGTTAGCTACATGTATCCCTGTGTGTTAGCTACATGTATCCCTATGTGTTAGCCAAGCCTGGCCTTAAACCCCCATCAGCCACTGCTTCTGCCTCAGCTTAGCCAACATCGATGGCAGGAAGACTGAAGCTCACAGGCCTGGAAGTCCATAGCCTGGGGATAACAAAGCTCACCCTGACGATCGCTAGCCCACACTCGCCAAGCATTTACTCATTTGCTTGATCCACATTAGGTGTTTACTGTTCTGAGCTGGACAGAGGGAAATGGAGATGAGCCCGACACTTCCTGTCCTGATGGTGCTGTCTACTGGGAGAGACCAAAAAAAAAAAAAAAAGATGAGGGATGATGCTTGAGGTTGTAGTATGATTTGGGAGCTGGGAAGTTGGAGGTGAC